CATGAGTTGAAGCACCTCAACATATTTCATCGCCGGGGACTCAATCTTGAGGCATTTTTTAAGTATTTATTTGGGGATGTTAATCCCCCACTTAATCCGAAACTCGGGGTAACTTTTCTCTAACTTTTTTATTTTTACTTTCTTTAATCGTGTATTTGCAAAATTTGGATCAATGGTGATTCGGGTTACTTTTCATATTTGCCTCATTTGATTTATTACTCCAAAAGAGTAGAATTTTGAGGGTTCTGTGTATTATAAGGATGAAAATCTGTGAGGTTCTTATTGATGATTTTGACACTTGAAAGGCTAATATAGGTTTTAGAAGGCGTCACCATGCTTTCTCTGACCCTACAAGCAAAATGCAGACAAGATAACAAATAACTTCTTTTTTTTGTTTTTGTCTATACAAACATACAGTGAATATTTCTTTACTGTATGCAAGTCACTCATTTAGTAGCCATGCTCAGAGTTGAGTATGCAGGAGTGGTTGTTGCTGTGCCTAGTATACACTTGGGAGTTTCATATGTAGTTGGTCATCACAAATTAAATAACCATTTTACTCAATGACACGTTCATTTTTGAGGATAGATGTGTTGGGACCCTTTGAACGCACGTGTTGTAAAAAATCGAAAGAGATTAATGGAGCAATATGAAGTATTGATCGCTCACCAAGCAAGAACAAGATTTAAAGTAAAGAAAATAAAAATTGACAAAGGAACAATTTCAGCAATTTCTGCTCTTAAAAAACTGAATGAAGAGTACTATTTATAGAGCAGATTGATTAATGGAGCAATATGAAGTATTGATCGCTCACCAAGCAAGAACAAGATTTAAAGTAAAGAAAATAAAAATTGACAAAGGAACAATTTCAGCAATTTCTGCTCTTAAAAAACTGAATGAAGAGTACTATTTATAGAGAAGATGTCCAACTCAAGATAAAAACAAATCACGTGAAATAAATGAAACAATATTTTCCTAATATTTTTCCAATAAAAGTTGTGAAATAAAGAGGGTGTTTGGTGGAGATTAAAATTAGATTTTTAATGGATTGTGATAGAAGTTTTTGAAATATATGGTTGAAAAGATGTGGGACCTATGAAAGATGGGGTTAATATTGATTGTTTGACTTTGACTTAGATTAGATTTTAAACATGCCCAAAGGAAATAATATTTTTCCAAATACGTGCAAAGAAGGAAAAATATATTCCCAAAAATTTCAACATAATTTGGGTCACAAAACCCAACAATCTTCACTTTGACACAAGTTCCGGTGCAATGAATGAAACTCCAAAATTTCTCTACCTAGAAAAATAAGCGTGACTGCATCAGAATAAACCAATATCTTCATTCAGTATCAAAACTCTCCACTTCACGAAAAACATCACTTTTGCCCAGTGTCCACAAGCGACACCCGAACCCAATCCCGGGTTCCCAAAATTTCAACAAAGAATTCAACAAATACCAAACAGGGTTGAAGCATACTTGTAGCAGAATCCATACCAAATGCTTGAATTGAAGGCCCCTTGCTAGAACTATCACCTTCAAACACCCCGAAAGCATGATCACACATATCTGAAACTCGGTACATATGCTCCATGAGTCCTCATCTAGCAAATGACTCAGAGCCCAATACGAAAGGTACTGTATCGAACTGGATTTCTTTCACGATACTAAACCTGTCCAGATGTCTCTTCACCAGTTCTGCGAGACCCTGCAGGATATACAGTTGAGAACTCTTCCGTCCTTCCAACACAACACAACACGATGACCCCTTTGGACCTTCAAGACTTCACGTCCACCGGAGAATGTGTACCCATTAGAATCCAGGGTACTCAGCGAGATGATATTCTTCCTTAAGTCTGGAACATGTCGAACCTGGCCAAGAACTCGAACTGTCCCATCCAATAACCTCAATCTGACTTGACCTATTCCAGCAACCCTTCAAGATTGGTTGTTTCTCATGACAACCCCACATTGCTTCACCGTTTCATGTTTCAAACCAGGCCCTATTGGGACACGTATGGAACGAACACGTTGAATCCACAATCCACTCCTCATCTGGCTTAGATTCCATGTCAGATACGGTCAGCACCACATCTTCGCCATCCGAAAATCTCTCGGCAATATTAGTCTTGTCCGAATGATCAAATTGCCTCCCATGATTTGCACATAAATTACCTTTACCATGCAATTTGTCGCAATCCTTCTTGATGTGTCCTTTTCTCTTGCAGTAGAAGCAAACCTGATTGCTGAAGTTCATGCTCGACCTACCCCTCAGTTGATCATCGTACGAAACTAGAGCTTCCTCATCCTTAGCTCCAATGATATACTTCAGCTTCTCATTTGAAAATAAAGCGTCATAAGCATCGTTAATGGTGAGTGCGTCACGACTGTACAAGATCGTGTCCCTGAACGATGAATACGAAACAGGCAGTGAGCACAACAGGATCAAGGCCAGATCCTCTTCATCATACTTGACTTCTAAGGTGGATCAACGATGATTTCCTTGAATACGACCATATGGTCCTCCGAAGAACTCCCTTCTGCCATGCGATGAGAATAAAGCCTCTGCTTCAGATGCAACTTACTCGTCAATGTCTTCGTCATGCACTATTGCTCCAGTTTTAACCACAATGCAGCAACTGATTTCTCCTTAACCACGTCTTGATGAATGTTGTTAGAAAGATGAAGATGAATCATAGACAGTGCCTTACGATCCTTCTGTTGCTTCTCCTTTGTTGTCCAAGTTGTCAGTATTTTATCAAAACCCAACAGAGTATCGTCTAAATCCATTTGTGCCAGAATTGCATTAATCTTTATTTGCTACAGAGAAAACCTTGTATTGTGATTCAAAAGCGGAATGTCATACTTCATGGCAGCCATCGAAACTAGAAATATCAAATAAACTCAATAACCTGTAGCTTTGATACCATTTGTTGGGACCCTTTGAACCCACGTGTTGTGAAAAATCGAAAGAGATTAATGGAGCAATATAAAGTATTGATCGCTTACCAAATAAGAACAAGATTTAAAGTAAAGAAAAGAAAAATTGGCAGAGGAACCAATATTTTATTAAATAACAAATGGAGAGAAAATACAATTTCAACAATTTTTGCTATCAAAAAATTGAATGAAGAGTCTACTATTTATAGGAAAGATGTCCAAACTCAATATGTAAACAAGATAAAAACAAATCACGTGAAATAAAGGAAACAATATTTTCCTAATATTTTTTCAATAAAACACATGAAATAAAGGAAATAATATTTTTCCAAATACGTGTAAAGAAGGAAAAGTATATTCCAAAAAATTCTAACTTAATTTGGGTCACAAAATCCAACAAGATGCTCCCAGAACCAAAGTTCCTCTTAGTCATCAATTTTTGTTCTGAGTCCTACTTACGTAATGTCTTCTCTTGTATTACTGAGTTTTTTACTGAAAAGCCAACATGCTTCTAACAAGAAATCTGAAAATGTTGGACGAGTTTCATCATTCTTAGTTCTAACAAAAGTTTTCTTGTGTTGTCATACACAAAGCCTCTCGTATTTGATAAGACAAGGTCTAATCCTGTTCTACGTTTCTTTCACCAAATGAGTGTTGCATTTCAGAAGTAGCAACAACAAGTTGCATTATTTGACTATCATTTCGTTCTAAGAGCTGAATATTTCATTTGTTTGACAAAAGTAAAACATCATAGGCAAGAAAAAGTTCTACGACATTTGATGACAAATAGTCGACTAAATCCTATAACAAATAGATCAAAAAGATAACTCCAACTGCATTACAGTTGTGAAAAAGCCATCCCTTGAAAAGTATCCATTATGCTAACAATGAAGCCAATGAGACAGCCGGTTCACTTATTTGGTGACATAGAGCATAGTAATTCCTTGGAAATCTAACTCTCTCTTACCGAATGCGTCATGTGATAGCTAGCATATCCACCTCAAAAGTACGCTATCTAATCTGAAACACGAAACTTAGGGGAAACTTCTTTCTTATAAGTTAGGCCTAATGAGATTTCAAAAATAGAATTCGGCATAATGAAGACTATCTAGTGCCAGAAAGTAAAATCTTCTTGAAATATTTACAACATTAGTGCAAAAACACATCATTTGAATTTGAGTTCCATTGAACACACATTAGGCGAAAGGGATCTATTTCTTCTCCTAATCTGGAATAATCGTTGGTACTCAGCATTTGAATTGCATAGGCCTGGTTTCTTCTCCAAATCTGGAATAATTATTGGCACTCAGCATGTAAAGTGCATAGGTCTGATAGAGATCTTCACCTAGAAAGTAACTTTCTCTTTCTCAATAAAAGAGGCCAAGGAAGAGAAACAACTATTTTTCTGGTGAAATCTTGTGAACTATCAAGAATCCATATCCTATAATCTTGCAAATTCATATCTTTTGCTTTGCCTTTTGGTGGTGGTTGTTGTTGTTGTTGTTGTTNCTTTTATGTCTCTTCTAGCGCTTATGACTCCTTCTATGTCATTTAATTACTGCGATGTTATAAACTACAAGATGAGAATAGCGGTTGTCTTTTTCTTGATACTTATCCATTATTTTCCTTTTCTGGTTCACCATGACATGAATGCTCCATTGTCTCATTACTTCATATATAATGGACACAATTCTCATCTAACTGGGAATTAAGTCCACATGCATAGGTAGACAACTTGATAAGAGTACTTTATATATCATTGCCTCACAAATCTTAATTATTCACTGATTTTGGCCACATACTAGTTTTGAAGTTTTACATTTTCCCATACAAGTTCTCTTAACTTTTCTTTGTAAGCAACTTTTTGGATCTCATCGAATTTTGTGAAGAAATTCAATTGCTTTATCAGTTTTTTGCTTTCTTTTATGTCTCTTCTAGCGCTTATGACTCCTTCTATGTCATTTAATTACTGCGATGTTATAAACTACAAGATGTAAATAGTAGTTGTCTTTTTCTTGATACTTATCCATTATTTTCCTTTTCTGGTTCACCATGACATGAATGCTCCATTGTCTCATTACTTCATATATAATGGACACAATTCTCATCTAACTGGGAATCAACTAAGTAGTGACTGTAGCGATGCCCCAATTGTAAATGCATTGCATAGAGGTGTACGAGTCATTGAGTTAGATATATGGCCAAATTCAACAAAAGATGACATTCATGTTCTTCATGGGAGGTACACCATTGATTTATACAGTTGTTTATCAATTGATGACTTGAAGCATATAATACAAGTTTTGATGCAAATTAAGCTTGTTGCACCTTATTATGCTCACAGTCAAATAGATGATCACCAAACAAGCATGCAGGAAGGAAAAAGGAAAACCAGTTGTTTGAGATAAAAGAAAAAAAATGTGTTGTATGCAATCCATTTCTTTGTTCATTTCTGAAACAGGAAACTATAGAGTTGACATTTGAATAGAAATTTAAATTTGATCTTATTTTACTGTGCGACAACATCGTTTACACGAGTGATTTTTTTTTTTTTATCCACTTCTTTTGCATGATGTTTCAATTGTGTGCACATCCCATACGTTTTTTGATTTCCCAAGTTAGAAAAGTCGAAAAAAGTAAAATCTCCTGTACAAATGGTTTTTTTTTTTAATCGAGGACGCCCATTGCCCGCATATGAATTAGCTCAATATGAACCGTTCTTTGTCTTTGTTACCTTCTTAGAACTAGAACGTTTAATGTAGGACGCTCACCACTCCTGTTGAGCTCATCAAATGTTTAAGGTCCATTAAGGAAAATGCTTTTACTGCATCTGAATATCCTGTTGTCATAACACTTGAAGATCATCTTACTCCAGATCTTCAGGCTAAAGTGGCTGAGGTATGTAACTATGTTGGGTTGTTTAACACTCCTATGGCTTTGTACTCATTTCTCTGTTGATTATTCTAGATGATAAAGGAAACATTTGGAGACATGCTGTTTTGCCCTGGTGAGGAATGCTTGAAAGAGTTTCCCTCCCCTGAGTCACTGAAGAAACGGGTTATGATATCAACCAAACCACCTAAAGAATACTTACAGGCCAAAGATGCTAAGGCAAAAGAGAGCGGCTCAAATAAGGGAAAGGATTCATCTGAGGAAGAAGCTTGGGGAAGAGAATTCTCATTTAAAACCAAGATTGATGATGATGTGCATTATTTAACTATGTTTCAATCAAGATTGAGTAATTTCACTTCATCTTCTATAGTCCTTAATCACCCACAATTGATATTTTAGGATGGCGATGAAGATGATGGATTTGATGAAGAGGATCCTAAGTCACAGCAGATTGCAGAACCAGTAGAATATAAGCGCTTGATTGCTATTCACGCGGGAAAGGGGAAGGGTGGAATGCAAGATTGGCTCAGGGTTGATCCTGAGAAAGTAAGACGTCTCAGCTTAAGTGAGCAAGAACTTGAAAAGGCCATAATAACTCATGGAAGAGAAATTGTCAGGTATCAGTTCAAACACATTCTAAAGTTTGTCTTGAGCATGATTTCTCGACTTACTGGTATTTGGAGCATTTATTCCAAGAATATTTTTACCTTGTGGAATTTGGACTTTGGCTGTTCCCTTCTTTGAAGAGGAATATATGAATAGTGGCGAGAGTGCAAAAAATGTATTGGAGGCAAAGTACGAAACAATAAAGCTTCAGACATTAGGATAGATAGTCATAACTAGAGTGTAATGTTCATGCAAAATAAATAGCTACACATGATCATCCCTTTTGACTATTCTAAAATAGCACCAATTCGATTCAACTTAGCATGAACTTGGTGGGGGCTATTTGCCCCTCAGAGGCATGAATATGCTGTGATAGCCTATTTTAACGGTTCCAGATATTTACTTATTTGATATACTGTTTTGTGTGTGCCTGTGTATATCAAACATGTTTCATCTATGGGTTTCTTATCTTTACGAGGACTGTCGTAATCGACTTTTTATCCTTAATGTTCTTTTATTTGTTTGCTTTAGGTTTACACAGCGGAACATATTGAGAGTATACCCTAAAGGTATACGCTTTGACTCATCCAACTACAATCCCCTAATTGCATGGATGCATGGAGCTCAGATGGTTGCATTTAACATGCAGGTTAGTATATTTGTAGACTGAGGAAGTTTAGTGTGTTTTGGTAGAAGAGATACTGAATCTAATCACAGTTTTGAAGATATACGGGGGAGGGAGGGATTTTAAACCTTGACATCCTTGATTGACTATTCTTGAGAAGTTTATCTGAAACCTCCCAAGTTGAACAAAAGGTTGTGGAAGTATGAGCCCTTAGGATCCTTCAGTTGCAAATCATGATTCAACACTCTAGTTGATTCATCAAGCTACCCTATGTTTTCCCCATTTAAGTTCATTTCAGAATCTTGCATCCCTTTGGAGAATGAATTTTCTATGGCTGGTGTCTGGAAAATGAATGCTTGTTAAGTGGTTCAAAAGAAATGTCCTTATTACTCCCTCTCCCATTCATAGTGATATTTAGAAAGGATTAAGAAAGTATGAATCATTTACTTTTACATTGTCACATCGCGGGAGGGATTTCGTTTTGGAAGGATTCCATGGTGCAAATATAAATGGCCAAGGTGAGTGTAAAAGTGGTGGGATATTGTTGAAATTGATAGTTTCAGCTAATTTTTGGTTGACACGGATAGAGAGAAACAATAGGATAATTAAAGCAAAAGAACAAACACTTTTTGGGTTATGTGATAGATCTGAGTTTTTATAATCCTTAAGGATTTCTGTGGATATGAAGTTTAAGTGCATTCTTATCTTTAATTATCCTTAATTGAAAAAATGTACTGCATTCTTGACTCGACTTTATTTTGGTTGATGATGAGAATTCGTATTCCTTTTTACATTTCTTGTTAATGCTTCTTTAATTAATAAAATTACGTTCTTATAAAAAAAATTTCAAATATGAGCAAACAATTGAGCAATGAGTGACTGCAGAAGAAAAAAATAATGGCGCAGTCCAGTTTTTTAATTGCGTCTTAGGGTGGGAAATTTATGCAAACGAATGGTAATACTAAAGCTAATATAGCTCACAAATTTGTAAAAACGTCAAGAGGCAATTGAGATGTCATGATGCATTGACGATATGTTGATATTATTCTGAAATTTCACGATTACATTGTGATATGTTGGAGAAATAATAGTCCCTAATGAATAAAAGAATATGTGAAGTTCGAAGGGGTGACTAAGTGATCCAGCTCAGTAGTTTTCCATATGTTTATTCTGTCAATAAAGCATAATAAAATTCACTAGGGTAGATCATCAAATATCGGTTTTCCTTTAACAGGGTTATGGAAGATCACTTTGGTCGATGCATGGAATGTTCAGGGCTAATGGTGGTTGTGGATATGTTAAAAAGCCAGACTTTCTGTTGAGGGCTGGTCCACTTAACGAGGTCTTCGATCCTCATGCTAAACTTCCTGTTAAAACTACTTTGAAGGTAGGTTTGAAATTTATTTGGGATTAATATTGCAGACAGTACCAGTAATTTCTAAATCGACTGAAGGTCTATATACTCTTTTGCATTTCATCCACACACCACGCTATTAACCAGGTGACTGTATACATGGGTGAAGGATGGTACTATGACTTCCATCGTACACACTTCGATGCATATTCTCCACCAGATTTCTATGCAAGGGTAAGTGGATATCATTATTTTCTTCCTGCTTACCCCTCGATCCGAACTTGCAATTTTTAGTTCAATTTCTTGCTATAATATTGCAGCTGATATTTTATTTGCATGCTTCTATGAATAATGACCAATTTTCTTTACATTTTATTTGACCTGCTGTATTTCGCTCTTCTTAGCATATGCTAAGTTGAGATCGTGCACCTAATAGAGGACAAAACATTATATTAGCTTCTGACCCGTGTGACCGGATGTGAATGCTTTCTCGAGGTTCAAATCATATTTGGGTTCATTTATTGTAGAGTTCTGTAAATGGGTGTTATTTGATTAGTGTATTACATCATATGATACTAAGTTTGCAGATTTACGTATATTCAGATAGGAATTGCTGGAGTGCCTAGTGATACTGTGATGAAGAAAACGAAGACACTCGAGGACAACTGGATACCAACTTGGGATGAGGTTTTTGTATACCCATTAACAGTTCCAGAACTGGCCTTGCTTCGAATTGAAGTTCACGAGTATGACATGTCTGAGAAGGATGATTTTGCTGGCCAAACTTGCCTACCGGTGCCAGAATTGAGACAAGGTATCCGAGCAATTCCACTTCACAGTCGCAAGGGGGAGGAGTACAAGTCTGTGAAGCTTCTTATGCGATTTGAGTTTGTTTGATATAGTAAGGTTTGCCTCGATTCTTCTTTGTCCTATATTAATAATATATGCATACGTGATGATATTTGTTGTGGAGATTCCGGTCCTTGTGCAAATCTGATGATGTACATAACTCTGACTTCGTGGTGTGTTATTCAAGTCTACCCCTCTTAGAAATATGCTTGGATGTATGATATAAGTTATACTATTTATCATGATGATGGAATATCAGTGATGTGGCAATCGTTATCTCTCACATTTATCTCTCTATCTCATCCCATCCTCTCGAATATAAGTTGAATGGTCATTCCATTATCTCTCACTTTTATCTCTCTATCTCATCCCATCCTCTCGAATAAAAGTTGAATGGTCATTCCATTATTCCATAGGTTACTCTCCTTTTTACCGAGCAAGCTCCCCATTATCTCTCACGTCTCTCTCTATCTCACCCCACTCTCTCTCTCTCATGAAAATTGAATGGTCAACCCTATTATTCCACATAGTTGTCACATCACCGATATTCTATAATTATGATGATAAATAGTTTTACTCGTATGATGGTGTTTATATAATTATTTGTACGTATAATGTAAAGTGAAAATAAAGATAATAATAGATTGGAATTCAAACATTTAAAGCACTACTTTACACCATGTTAATGTTTGGATTTTGGGAATTAAATGCCTAATTATACTTGGCATGATTCATCAATTTTATATCCTCGATCAAGTGATTCAAATTACATTAGGATGCCCCTCCTCGACTCATTGATCATGTTTCCAAATCTCTTACAAACTACTGATCATCTAACCATGCCAAGTATTTACTTTCCTCTTCTCTTGGTTGCATTTGCAACACTGTGTAGAGCAGGACTTATGTTTCGCGGGGCATGAGGTGAACTTCGAAATTTGGGTTCCGAAGTCGTAGTAAGCAATCGATGTTTTCATTTATAAGAGTTTTATGAAACTAAATTTGTTAACTTAAAATCAAGAATAAAATAGTAATAAAATGAAAAGCAATTCTCTTAATTTAAATGTGAATGTCCTTAGAACCGTTTCAACTAAAAAGTCTCATCTTTTGATTAATATAGATGTCCTTCAATTTCTACGATCATAAAAATTCAAAGAAAAGTAGTTCTTTTGATTTAAATCTTTATGTTGAACATTATCTTCATCATTCTATTTTGATTCATTCATATTGATAGATTTAATCATTTTCTCGTTCTCTTTCGGTTCATCCGTATTATTAGTCATTTTGATTATGTTGTTCTTCAATCACTAAATTTTTCGGTGTTCCTTCATTCTCTTTTCTTTTTTTGCCGTTAAAGTACTTATCTATATTTCTAGCCCGACTTCGAATTAATGCCTCACTCGACATCTAATACTAACTGAAATTTATGTATAAAAATGGACTCAAATTAGTTTAAGAAAGAGATATTAAAAGATATGGCTAAAATTACATCAATATTTGAACAATAACTATACTAATTAAAACCCTACAAAGAATAAAATCTTTAGTATAAAATACAGGAAACTAGAAGCATACAAATTTCAAAGTTAAACTTGAACTAATTTTCAAGTGCGGAACAAGGCCATTAACCATAATTAATCAAATTTTAAAATTCAGTAACATTGTGAAATTAGCCCCCCCCCACCCCACCCCCCAAAAAAACTTAAAATATTAATTAATATATCTTGTAATTGATGATGCTTTTTCTGTTCATATATTCTTGGAAGTATTGAAAATATTTTTGTTGAACTTTTGTATTTATTGTTAATCTTGTGTGTTTAAAAATACAATAGGTAAATAAATATTGCTTCCTCCTAACAAATTTTGAATGTCAGTTAATAAATAAAAAGTTGGGAAATTAAATTCGAAAATGAGCAAGTTATAAACCTTAAGTGCATTGCCTTAAGTAATTATATTTTGGCTTTGGTTCCTTTGATTTGCCTACAGATGGAAGGGAATTTAAGCATTTTCTTGTTTTTGATGCTACTAGGTTTTTTTTTTTTTACTTCCAAACACTTAAAATGATTTAAATATTCTACAACTAATCCATTACGTTTTCGAAATTTTGATTAAAATTTATTAAGCTCATTTTTGGCTAATGGATTATTGTGGATTAAGCTCTATGCATACACTTTAAATCCTCTTCTTTGTTTTATACTTCCCCCCAAATTTCCCGTAGTACATTAATCAGGAGAAGGATTATCTAATTGCAAAACTTCTAGAAAATGAAGAAATAAGCTGATCTTAGAATTATAAAAAATAAAAAAAATTCACAGATGAAGTTCTTGAGAGAACTGAATATTATCATCTGTAATGTAAATAGATGTGAAACAAACCATTAGTTGAGCATGGTGAAGAAAAATGCTAGAGATCAGAGATGAAGTTCTTGACAGTTTTAGAGAGATTTCTCGGTATGTTCAAGAGGTGGCACAACTGTTAGTTTACCCAAGAAAACAACCCATTAAGTCATTTATGACGAAGCTATCAAGCCGTCTAGGTTTTGATTTCTTCAGCGGCTGCTAAAAAATTGATAATTGGACATTAGTGGGTATAAAAGAAAAAAAGAAACAAATTTTTTTAGCCCCTCAAAGAGTTGGGCTTGAGGCAATGGCCTATTGGGCCTCTCATCAGGTCCGGCTCTGAGATTGTCTTTGTTTTCAAATTGGCGTGTATGGGTGAGGAAATAGTGGCAATAGTCGGGTGACCCACCCAATTTTCACAGTGGCCTTTGAACGGATTTTATTTAAAAAAAAAGGTAAAAAATTGTAAAAACTAACTAAATCTCCTATATACTTCATTGCAAAAGAAAGAAAAAAGAATGAAAAAAATAGGAAAAATGAAAAAAAATCTTATCGACAAAATTGACTTTAGCACTATTCACCATCAACATCTTCTACATATTTAGTCAATGTAAGTTTCTATTTTAATGGTTTAAATTTCATGATTTTACGAATGGGTAATTATATTCTTAAATTTTTACATTCAATCTTGATAAATCTATGAATTTATGCTTTTAATACATGGCTTGAGGTAGATATGTTGTTAGAATGAACCTTAGAAATGTTTTTTGTGAGTTTTTTTGGATGGAGCTCGTC